AAAATTCTTAATGATTAGTTGAATTTTTATTTCATACTCACTAAGTACTTATATGTGACAAATTGTATAAAAAGTATTTACATGTGACAAGTACAATGAATTAAAAATATTTAGTTGTGGTATCGCGAGTGTTCAGCTGTTGCATAATTTTACAGCTGCACCGCGCTAGGAACGGCCCCGACAGTGGAAGATAACCATATTCAAATCATGACAAAATTACTTTGGCAACAACACAATCAACTGGCTATTAAATTGCTGGTGAAGGTTACTTATCAAGTTCCTATAATTAATAAATATCCTTATTCAGGACTTAATTTCTAAACTTAGAAGTGCCAGAACCCTATGCTAAACTGTCAGCAAAGGAAAAGAAAAGTAAAAAATAAATAAAATGACTGTTACAATCATTAATAATTTAAAAATTAAATAGTTAATTAATACCAAATTAATTCATTATTATTTAATTAATATTAATAAGTATCAATTATTTTTAATTAATGATTGTTATTTTAATTATAAATTATTAAAGTAATTAAAATTAAGTAAAATGTAAAGAGATAAATTAAAATTTAATAAGCGATTTGTAATACAGTTTTACTGCAAAAAATTAAATGTTTGAGATCAAGTTTTTGTTCAGTTGCATAAAAGAAGTGCCGGAACCTTATTCATGATTTATTCCAAAAACTAAAGAAGTACCGGAGCCAGGCTCCGGTGCAATTTAAGCTCTGTCTCTATTAACTTTTTAATAAACTTACACATTTAGTCATTATGAATATCTTAAACTTCCATTAAGTTATAAGGTTATTCTTGGTCTAATGATGGAATTTTAGTCTTATAACCCTAATATAATTATCACTTGAGATATTATGACAAAGCTTATGAAAGATTTTAAAACAACCTTTTTATTTAAAACTGAACTTTTAACAAAACAGAGCATGGCCTGAACTTAGAGCATGACCACAGCTAGTGGCGATGCAAATAAATGCGAACAATCAAATAAATGAAAAAATGTTGATCAGTAGTCTAAGACTACATAGTTAATTATTAAGCTAGCCACTAATTTACTGGCACATCAGATTAAAGTATCGGTGGCATGAGAACACAAAGCTGATACTTTTAGTTATACTAGAGCTGGAAGAATCTGACCATCCAACACAGATGCCAGAAAAAACTCTCTAAAGATCCAAAATCCTCAATTTAAATAATGGAGGGTAGAAATAAGAGGAGAGGTCTTAACTGGTTTTCCTCGTGTACTGCCCTGAAGCAGTAGTGCACCTCTCGTGGAAACAAAACCAAACTATTCAGTGACTATCCATTAAGATCAATAGGTTTTAACATAATCGGCGGGTAAACATTTTGTAATTACATCGTAAATATACAATAAATATATATATTTTCTTTTTCCGTAATACTTCAAAGTCATAAGTATGTAAAAAGAAAATATTTTAAAACAATGTATTATTCTGAGCGGAATTAAATGCTATACTTTCCCAGAAAAGTTTAATTTGAATGAAATATTTTCACATGTTCTTGTTAATTACATTACACAGAAAATTTTAAGTTAATTTGATTTTATTTGGTTAATGATTACAAAAATTAAGATCAAAGTTTATTATAATACTAAAATCAAAATTATGCATTATTTCTTTCCTATTTACAGAGCTTCTTCCTGAAATACCTTCTCAAATGCAGAATGATTTTTTAGCTTCTGAGGCATCCTTTAAAAATCAGAGCTACTTTATAATTAATGCTCAGTTCAGTTAATTTCAAATTAGAGCAGCTGTTATTTCCATAGTAAAATACGTTAAATATTGCTACTGATTTCCATGTACTTAACTTTCTATGAGTATTTTTGAAATGGGATTAAAAAAGTTTATTTTTAATATTGTTTAAAAACTTGTAACTGATTTATTACAAAATGTAAGGAAAGAATTCTTTTGATACTTACAGTCAAAAGTCTTTAATCTGGACGTGCATAATCCGGACCTCAAAGCTACAAACTTTCTGCGCATGCGTCAACACAGAAATTATGGTTTCATATTTTTAATTGTATAATTTCTGCATGCCATCTTACCAGATTTAAATTTATGATCTATAATCTGGAAAAACCCCTAATCCGGAATCACTGAAGTCCCGACGAGTCCGGATTAAAGACTTTTAACTGTATTATATTTTTTTATATCCTTAATTTCAACAATGCATATTCTAAAAATTATTTTTTACTAATTCCTTAAGTACACATCTGTCTACCTCACTTTTATGTACTTTGTGTGTTTCTGGACAAGTCCTGGGCACTCTCATCTGGATATGTGCTCTGCACTTTAATGGTCAATAGCCAGGCATTTGATAGATAAAATTAAGTACGCATCTTGTAGACTGTGCTTTACAGCACTTTTTAACAGATTGCTTTCCAGTATGAACAATTCTTGCTGAAATAGCAAATTAAAAAATTCTCTGCTCAAAAATTTTCAATTTATGTTTACAATTAAATGTTAAGGTTATTATATTTAAATAATATTTATAATCATTATAAATTTAGATATATTTAATAACTAGATTTCTTCACAATAACGTTAACAGGGGTTTATGAAAGAATAAATCCTTCATTTCCAAATACATTTATAATAATTTAATAAATATTTATGTATTTTATGCTTTTTACAAGGATAATGTATACTCATATATTTAATATTTTTCGAAATGTGCAAATCTTAAATTTCTGTGTATTTACTATATTTTTCAAGTCAAGTAATTAACAGTAATGTAGCATATATCAGAATTTTTTACATATGAAATATGTATAAATTGGATGAAAATTAGATGTATTATTTTTAATATGCACTCAAATGTCAGTTTTGCCTTGAAATTCCTCCATGAAGGCATATTTTCCTTTAGGCATATAGCTCTTGCATTCCTTACCTTATTTAAAAAGATTAACCTGACCTATGTGCCTAATTACAAAGTATTTAAACATCCATAATTTTATATTTACACTCAGCCATCAAGTTTCAAACTTTTGACTCAAAACATGTGTTTGGATACATTCATTATGAAATTCAAATTTTTTAGTAAACATATTTTCACGTAGCATTCAATACCTTCCTTGGCGATTATGCCCAGTTTAATAATTCTCTGATAATATAATAAATAACAACTTTCCATTTCACATTTAAACATTAATCTCATTGTCATCGGATCACAATCTTGATTTCCCTTACTCTGCATAATATTGCTTCATTTTTTAAAACAGTTAAAACAACTAATTGATCTGAATTCACAAGTGCATACATTATACAAAGTAATTAAAAATATATAAATTATACAAATTTTCACACTTAATACTATTTAGATGTAAGGAAACTGAGGTTTAAAGAGTGTTATATTTTTCCGAAATTTTGACATTTTAAATGTATCTTAAGGTATTTTTTCATTTTTTACGCATAACATGAACATTTTGCTAAAATCTATATTTTTGTTATCCAGTAGCTTAGAATTTCCTAAAACAAATTTATAATCAAAATCACTGTTGCAAGTTATTGAAAAATAACCAACACATAATTTTTACATAAATGCCACCAAACTGTACAAAGTACTATCATCCATCCAACAATTGAATGTTTCTTTTATGTAGAAGTGTCCCCCCGTTTTCGATTTGTGTTGAACTGTCATGTGTGGAAAAAAACACTATCAAAGAGCTCTGGATGTAAAAAACAAAAAATTCTGCCTCTGGAGACAGTAAGTGAAAATACATGCAAGATCGAAGTACTGTAGGCAGTTCAGGTAGAATGTTATAGCTAACATTCAACCTGAAATGGTCTTTACTAATATCTCAACTATGAACTAGCAATAAAAATGTTGCAAATTTACTAACTGTAGTCTACTACTATAATAGTTTATGTTACATAATCCTTAGCCATTGAAAGGCTCCTCAATGATAAAATCACAAATATCTGAATTATTAAGTAAACTGCAGCTATGGCTCTTACAGTTATTTTAAAATTAGATACTTCTATTTAAGCTTCATGTCTATTAATTTCATTTTAAAATCCAGGTTGATGTATGTTTTTTAAGACAAAACACAGAGCATCAATGATAATTCTGAGCACCTTGTTCTCCAGCTGTTACACAGACAGTCGATTCATTGGCAGCAACCATCCAGTAAGATGATGTCTTGTACATAAAAACACGTTATTCATGGATTGATAAACCTCTTTTATTTTAGTACTGAGTAGTGAATCATGTTTAGTTACAGAAAGAATTCTTATACTTTCTTTGTCAACCTTGTCCTTGACATATAATATACCTCTTTTAAAATGATAAATTATCACAAATAATACTTAGGTATTATTAGCTTGACATTGTAAAATATATTGAGAATAACATGATGAATATGAATGTCTAAAGTATTTATTTTTTCCAAAAAGTAACAGTTTTTTTTTCAAAGAAATTGACTTTAATTTCTTGTTTTCACACTATTGTAATAACAATTTAATGCATTTGTTTCACATGCACGACTTAATGATATAATTAAAATCTCTTGTACATATGATGAAATGTCAATAGTTTAATTCATAGTTGAAATGCCAGTTGTAACACCAACTTCTCACATAGCTGATGCAACAGAATGTGCTCATATGTGTCGTAAATAAGCTTTTTTTAATACACTTTAACGCATAAGCTTAGTATAAGCAATAAAGAAATTTCAGGAACAAATAATAGACACTCTCTATCATGGTCCTGTGATTACCTGCTAAGAAATAAACTAGCATAACGTATATTTCCTCATTATTTGCACATGTTTTAGCAATAATTTACAGAAGATAGGCATGCTTAATTAACAACAATCATAGATAATATTTCATTATTATTTAATGTATATAATTAATTAATGTTTAATGTATAAAAAGAAATAAACTTTTTTAATGAAAAGTGCACTACTTAATAACTTTCATTAGCAAAAAAATTTTATTTTTTATCTCCAAGCATAAATTAATTTTTTTAAACAAACACCGATTTATTAATTGAACTGTATTTCACTGTAGATCAAATACAGATGTAATACAATTTCATCCATTCTCAACACATGACGCAAATTTCAAAACCACAGAGTACTTCACGTAAATAAACAAAATTTCACGAAGTGCACGGCAGCATATGCGCAAATTGAGATGCGCACAGGAGGATCAGATCACGATCCCAAAAGTTGCCTTCTCTCCGTAGACGCTAGTAATATCATGTGAGGAATAGCAGGTTGTGCAGAAACAATGTAGCGATTTTTGACTTACCGTGTAAACATCCGTTCTTATCTAAATATTGATAATTTGTACTACCAGTTTTCTGCATCAGAAAGTATTTTTGTACTCGGATTATTTTAAGACTTCAATTTTAAACGTAAAAATATTAATTTCTTTTATTAAAAATAGGTTTTTATTATTATTTTTTTATTTTTATTATTATTAGTGCTTTTGTTAGTTGATGATGATGAACCGTTACCGCAATATTTCATGTATGTTCGAGAAAATAAACGTAATAGTTACCTCAAGATTTTGCTGTAGAAATCGTGTAATCAGTCTTTCTTTAAATCGAGCTCACTCTTCAGGTTATTTATTTACAACTGAGCATAAGGAACTGAAAAGATCTGTATCTAAGGTAAGTTATGTTCATGAATTAAAAAAAAAGTAGAAAAATATTTTGTATACATACTGTAACATGAGTTACTTGCATAGGATAAGAGTTAAGTATTTCAACAAATATGTATTTATAATTAATTAACTGTTTAAGGTGAGGCACAGGACAGCTATCAGCTGAAGGGGAGGGATGTCTTCATGGAAATTTTCTGAAACTGGTTCATAGTTGCTTAACATATGGTAAAACAATATATATGTTTAGAATTTAAACAGTATAATGAGATGGCAGTAAAATTAATGGAACTACTCTTATATGCGCCTTCAGGTTTCCAAATGTGGCGACAAATTTCTCGCCAAACATTTTTGGCTAGAAACTCCACGGTGCCATATTACTGTCTAAATTTTTTGTCTACATTTCAAACTTCAAGCCTAAAATGTCTCCAAAATGCGGTTTTCGCACATGCAAAAACCAGGTTTTGAACACGCAGTTTAAGCTAAAAATCCGAAACATAAACAAAAAATTTAGATAGCGAAAATGTAAAGTTTCTAACCAAAAATATTTGACAAGAATCCATGTACACAGCAATATGTTTTAACTTAAAAAAAATCTACACAAAATAAAATGCACTTACCATAATCGATGCTTCTTCGGACAGCAGAACGTAGCTTTAACATGACACCACGTACTCTCTATGGTATTTATATGACAGCCAGACTCACTATCCGCAAAATTCATACTATGGTTCACAAATAAATGTTCAAAACCTTCTTTTCCTAAATCCTTCTAAGATTTCCAGCCATCTGAAAAAATAGTTGTACAAGGCTCAATGCACTCTTTAATACACTGCATCAGCATTTCCTTACTTTTATCATGCACAGCCACTAAAAATAATCTCCCAGACCCCTTTGCAACCACATCTCTCACTGCAACATAAGCCATTTCAAAATGCAAACCAAAGGGCAATTAAACCACTCCAGCAAAAGAGTTTTCAACATCAAAAGGGTTGCCATATAACACACAATCGTGCCAAAAGCCAGCGCAGAACACATATTGCCACATTTGGTGATCTTAGGGCACATATAAGAGTAGAGCCAAGTTAATAATCGAGTTGGGGGCTAATATTTGGAATATGGTAACAGGTAGTTTGACGACATTTTGGTACGGCGATAAAGGTTACTAGCTAGGACTTTAGCAGTGTACATGGATAAAGTCAAGAGTGTGCGCAATGCCATTTTTGTGCAGTTCTGAGATTTTTTTTTTTAAGTGAAAATAGTTCGACGTGTACATGAATGATACCATGTATGTGCAATTCTTAAAAACGCGGCAAGTAGTGGGCGATTCTGCACTTTCTCCCAATTTCACACTGATTAAGCGCTTTTGTTCCATAAGTTTTAGCATAAGCGTTATTCGGCTAGCAGATTGTTGGAAAAAATGTTGAGTAAAAAAAAAAAAATGCCTTTACTTCGTGAAAACAAAATGCCGTCCAAAAAAAAAAAAAAACTAGCAGGTTGCTGTAGCAGGGTTGGTCGCCAAAAAATCACCAAGTTACCATAATCCAAAGATTAAATGAGTTGGGTTAGCTTATGTCGTTTTCCATCATGGTTCTGAATTTGAATAAAGTCTAGAATTCCCAATGAATGCAGTGTTTTCCAAGCCAAATTACTGTGCATTGGTGAGTTAATTAAGTGGATATCTAACAACTGTTCATTAAGCGCTAATTTCTCGTTTGCAATGATCCTCTTTCATGCTTCTATTCTCTTATGAATATCTTCTCATGTAATTAATTGTCACTTTTCATGCCATTCTTAAAGATCTTAATAAAGGTGCTGATTTACATGGTCTCAGTCTTTTTTCTCATATACGTGGGCCACACTGGCAGTCTAGGAAATGAAACAGCTGATTGGTTAGCAAAACAAGCTACAAATCTTCAAGTTAATACTTCAATGATATTGCCTAAGTCATTCTTCAAGGAAAAAAGTAGGGATGAAACAATACTCAAGTGGAATGAATTATACAGAAATTCCTCATTGACTAAATTATTTTTCCTTCCCTTCCTCACAATCTGAATAATAAAAATTTTTTGGTGAATCTTCGAATTATGCTAACTTGGCAATTTTTTTGGCGACCAACCCTGCTACAGCAACCTGCGAGTTTTTTTTATTTTTTGGACGCCATTTTGTTTTCACGAAATAAAGGCGTTTTTTTTTTTTTTTTTTTGTTACTCAACATTTTTTCCAACAATCTGCTAGCCGAATTATGCTTATACGGGGTTCATAGCGGTCCTTATAAGTGCTTATAAGTCCTTATATTTGAAAATAAAATATATAGGTGCTTACTTTTTCTTTAAAGCCCTTATTTTTTTGTTTTTAGTGCTTCTTTTTTTTTTTTTTTTTTTTAATGAACGCGCTATTTTTCCCTGTACCAAAGCCGAAACTAAATAAACAACTTTTCTTTCTAATATGGAATGTCAGATGGTGAATCATACTCCCGGAAATAGCTTTTCCCCTTTCTCTGCATTAACATAACCTTTGGTGTGCACGAAGAGTACAGACTGGTGCCCGTCCTTCTATTGGTCAAAGAAATGTGAAAGCAGTAGAAAATTCCGGTACATTCGGCATTTTTTTCCTCCCCCCAAATACTACACATGTTTGAATTTCTATCAAGATCTTAATAATTTGCATTCTCGTTCCGCCTGGTCAGTTCATATTCGTGTTTATTATGATCATTATGCTTATATTATGAGCATATGTATGAATGTTTATAATAACATAGTTGCAGTAACTGCTGAAGTATAGTAAATTTTCAAAAATGGTTGTGTTTTAACATAGATTAGCTTTCTAAGGAATAATATTCAGAATGGCTTAAATAAAGGGAAAGTAATCGAATAGTCAAAATAATTTTGTTTTTTTGGCCAATACATTATACAGTACGAAGATTGGGTGGTTCTCCCCTTTCTCTGCAAAATCTCGAATATTGAAACTGTTACACTTCGCTGCAAAACAAGCAACGGACCTTTTTTTTTTTTTTTTTTTTTTTTTTGTCACTTTCCAATCTGGATTGAATAGGACTAAAAGTTCTGCGGTCTACCAACCCAAGCGAAGAATGATTCTATTCCGGAAATTTAACGCCCTCTGTTGAAAATTAGAATGAAAAACACCCCAGTTATTTGGTTTTTTATTCTCCCAATACCGGCAGCTGTTGATTCCGATTGCATAATATCACGTAGGGAAGAATTACGGCACGCACATTGTGCAATAACGTTTGCGATATTTTGCAGAGATAATTAATTTTATGTTCTGTCCGAGATTTGTTTATCAACACTTAAAAGAGTTTTACTGTGCTTGCTAAGCAGAATATTTTTCAGTTCCAGGTTAATTTTTATATGATACGCATATCGAAATGTCAAAAGCATTTATTTAGCGGAAAAATTTAAAGAGCGGCTACAGTCTACCTCCCGCCTCTGCTCCTCTTTTTCAACTTGCGCTCGACTGTCCGAATATTCGCCAATTTCCAAGTATGTGGGTTAATTAAGCTTTTACTGTTAAAGGATGACTGCATGAAGCAAATTTCTGTCTTCTGATTTCAGAAATGTTCCTCTTTTTTACTTAAATTACTTTGCTTGCAATATCTGTTAAGGGAAAACTGATATACAAAGAAAATTTAGAAAATGTTCAGAATTTAGATTTAAATTATTTAAATATCAATATGAGTGGAAAAATAAATTGTATTTATTATTAAGTTCCAAGTGAATACAATAAATATGCCTTATTATTATTTATTTTCTCTATTTTGAACTGAAATTTCATCATTAAATCTTGTAATATAGTTTAGTTCTGCATAGTTTTTTTTTTTTTTTTTCCCCTCTCATTGTAAACTAGTTCTGTAAATTGAACTGTTATTTAAAATTAAAAAAAAAAAAAAAAAATTATTATTATTTTCTACGGTTGAGGTAATGCTTATTTTCTCTTAATAAATACTGCATTTCTCATATTTTAAATTACAAGTCTAATTTTTAAGGTTATGCAGTTGTGTATAATGTAATTAGACATGTGCTTATTTTTTTTCTTAAAATGTGCTTGAAAAGTGCTTATAGGTACTTAATTTTGTAACTAAAATGTGGCTATGAACCCTGTTAGAACTTTTATGGAACAAAAGTGCTTAATCCTGACGAAGATTAGGTGCGAAATTGTTTCTAAGTGCTTATTAGCTAAAATCGCGATCAGAATTTTCTGGAAAGTCCATTTTCACCAGATTTCTTGCACCACCATTCAAACTTATCTGTAATATCCTTCCTTTCACACAATCTCATTTCATTCTCACATGTTGGACATTCATACTTGTCTGCAATTAATACTACACTTATACGCCATTCAAGCAACTCTTTTGGATGATCACATAAATGCAATAAAAATTTGGAATTTACTTTAGAGAGGGCCAGGGGATCCAAATATTAAGCAACACTGTTTCACACAAGATAAAAGATGGAATGTACTTCTCAGATTATTGCTAAAGTCCTAGCTAATCACTTTTATCGCCTTACCAAAATGTCGCCAAACTACCTGTTATCATATTCTAAAGATTAGCCAATTTTTCTGCAATTTTGAAATTATTAAATTTCTAACTGGACATGGTAGTTTCAATTTGTATCTGAAGAGATTTGAGTTATGTAATACAGAATGTTCCTGCAGCTTCGGGAGAGTGCAAAATGTGAGAATATTTGTTGTTCTATTGTTGAAAGCTTAAGGATGTAAAAAACCTATTTTTATGTTAAACTCTGTGAATATTACATTTCCTCCTTCTCTTCATGAATTTATTCAAGATGAAATGGCATTCTCTTTCCTGTGTATGCTTATCTCTTATGTATCATCTGTGAATTTGTAAGTTAATTTTATTTTATGTTGTGTTTGTTTTTTTATTTACCTCTGTAAGCCTTGTAGGTTTAATCCTAGTATCTGGTGCACAGGGGATTTGGCTACTTTTGGCGACTTTTATGATGAGCAGTAAAAAAGGGACATATACGA